TGAAGAAGAGTAAAAGTAGAGCAGAGTCCAAACAAGAGAAGAGCAACACGACAACTCAGAGTTAATTATTACATGGACATTTGTGTTTTATTTGTTATTAAAATTATAGTGTTAATAAATTATAAAAACTGTATATCTGTATTCTGTATGCATATGTGTAACAACCTCCCCTTTCAGTGAAAGCAGTACCACCAAACCAGGTCTGCGCCCACATAAGACCAGTGAGAATCCCATAATAAATAATAAAATTGTTCGTGACCCGACCACAACCACACTACCAGATTTTGGCCAGGTCCGACAATATAATAGCATTGTATAACTGCAATATCATTAAACCAATAGTCCAATACTCATCCTACACAACTTTTGAGAACGATGTACAACTCCTGGATAGCGCAAACTCATGAGCAGCGTATACAACTCTTCAACTTGATATATGACATCATACTTTGGGTGGGATAACAAAGGATATACAATATACAACTGTAGACCTGTATTGAGGTCAACTGGCAAAATTGTATACCGATACTGTAATCCTTGAAAGTTCGGAGGTCGAGGTCAACAGTACTCTCAGGGTTTACTGTTGAGGTATACACTTTTGCCAGTTGACTGAAAAGAGAGGTTAACAATTGTTCATTGTCCAAATAATATAATAATTGGACGAATATATAATCGAATATCACGTGAACATATTTGATAAGTAAAGGTATCATATTTTAGCAAAGAATCCCCAAACCGTCGAATACTTGTAATTTTTTACACAACTTATTTTTTCAAAATTAAAAGAATTTCAACATTAAAAAAACAATCTTTCAAAAATAGGGGTCAACTGTACCTTGTAGTGGTCAACAGTTTACAATTGTTGACCTCCCCAGAGGTCAACCGGCAAAATTGTATACCGAGACTGTAAACCGTAAACAGTAGTTTCAAGTTTTACAGTAGAGGTATATGATTTTGACGGTTGATCGAATGGAGAGGTCTACAATTGTTTTGTTAGTCCGAGTAAACTAATAATACACATATAGACGACAATCATCAATCGGTAAATCCAAGGGCATTTAATTTAGAAAATGTATAATCTTTATTTTTCAGATACAATATCAATGAGATTGCCTCCCGGGGATTCTGTACTTTATTTTGTTTGCCTTGTATATATCCTTTTAACTTTGATATACAGTAGACAAAGAAACCAAACAAAATACGTTTCGTTCATGGACTACTGACTTGCGCGTTTTATTCATGTCCCGACACACACCTGTAAACAGAACATAAAACAGTTTCTCTTGTTGTTCAATGATACATTATATTGGCGTTTTTGCATCAGCACATTGGTGTTGTTGCATCATCGATAAGAAACAGAGTGGTGTTGTTGCATCAATAGTGAGGAATTAAAACCACGAATTTATCGCTTCTTGATGATGCTACATGTATACCAATGACAGTTTTTTTAAATATAGATCATGCGCTAACTGCATGTGTATGATTATTGAGCAACTCGTCCTAGAAATGGGTGTTAATTGGGAAAACAAAACATCGTACGAAAATCTATCACCGGAAGTCTGGCCATCTTGATGCAACAACACGGTGTTGTTGCATCACGATACCCCCCAGTGATATTTGTCGATTGAATCAATTCTAATTTGTTATGAGCTCCTTGACAATAACCATCTAATGTTTGGAGTTGTTCTACAAACACACCATTTAATTTGCAAACTTACACAACGTATCTAAACATGGAAAGAGAAGAGGTGTATTACACATCTAGTGAAAACTGGAAATACCTTTCAATATGCCTTCCATCTATAATATCAAAATTGAAATAAAACTACATACTCATCAGTTTTTTATAATGATAATAATTGCGATTTCAATGTTGAATTTAATAAATACCTATCGCCATAGTTTGGTCACTTTTGTTTTGTTGTTTTCAAATGCTGCTCGATGTGCTATCTGTGAATCACAATGATGAAAATGATGGATTGAGGGGAAACCAACGTTTGGTTTTGCTCCTTTATTTGCCTTGTTCTTGAGGTACATTAAACCTTGAGGCACTGGATGACACAAGATTGGATTTCTCAACGATTCAGCACATTTTCAGATACTTCAAAAAACAAAAGCATGATAAACTGTTTGAAATAACCCATGATTAATTACTTATAAGTTTGAAACTTTCTCAACGGAATCGAACTCGGGGGCAGTCGCAGGTGCACCTGGACACAATTTCGTGATATTTGAATTGTTTTATCAAAAAATCACCTTATTAAAGCTAGGTATTTATTTCAACATTAACACATTGTCAAATTCGATAATTACGTTTATCTACAAACTTACAAGTTGTACAGGAACGGTTTACGATTATATCCATGGGAACGCAGTTGATCGTACATCGATAGGCATATATACAGATTACAACCCCATAAGACGAAACTTTGAACTCCAAAGACATTTTTCTAGACCGGAATGGATAGCGCAAACCCAAGGTATGTTATACAGCACCGTTTTTCATCAATTCATCAATTTTTGCTTATCTATTCTTTTACATTTATTTATTAACTTATTTTCGAGTTTATTTATACAGATATTATTACTCGTAATTTAGATGATAAATTTGTTGAAGCCTTCTCATAATTGTTTCTTCCGTATTATTTTAGAAAGGGTTTTTCCAAATAGTTAGCATCGTTCAGTTGGTAGAACACTTTTACCCGAATGAAGCTTATGGGTTGTAGTTGATCGAGCACGATCATTTGAATAAATATAATATACATGAACTGTGTGGGGAATAAATTGATATACGTTTACCCGATTGCATCTTATCTCGATAATGTATTACTTTTCATAAATGTATGTTTTCATTCCATTTGCAATTGGTCTCAGTGACTCCATCTTTTATACTTAAAATTAATTACATTTGCAATTTAAGTAGCAATAAGAGTGATCGCCATTTACTTAAAAATATACTTACACGAAAATAAAAAAAGCTTATATCTAGATGACTCCCATCAAAATAACACATTTATTACTTACATTCATTTTCAAATGACTAAATGACGAAATGGTTGTTTTCAAGATCAAGCTCTTTGACGACATGTAATAAAATCTGAATTTTGCCTTTAAATGTGTTGGACAATTCGAAAACTGAATTAATCTTCCCGGCCAATGTCAAAATGGCTGTCTCACATAAATTAGTTCTTCCACCAATGTCAAAATCAAAAACCCGAAACGAGTGTAGAAACAATAATTGATGATTACATAATATATTGTTTTACTGAGTTACTTTAATTTGTGAATGTTTTAATTTATCATAATTAGCGATTCTGTCGATAACAAGTTCGAATATCCCATGGTACTGTAATTCGGGGGGTTTTTACGTCAAAACGTCACCAAAATCAAAAAGTTGTGAAGTGTAAAAGGGAACAGTTGTCTCAAGAACCTTATTATCTGAATTACTATTCACGGCTGGTCTAATGTATCTTTATCAACCAATAATGCGAATTATCCTATGCCAAGTAGAGTTTTAGGGAGATAAGTTTGTAAGATATATCCCGTATCCTGATTTTGAGGTTTCCATATCCAGAACCTCCATATCTCCCGCCTCGTGAGATATGCACATTTACCTTCGGTCCCTACGGTCCCTCAGGTAGATGCATATCTCCCTCTGGATAAACCCCATATCCAAGTACATAACCCTTATATCATGTATATATTAACCTTTATATCCATGTAATCGTTATATCATAACACAATATACTTGTAGTCACAAATCGAAAAAGTACAGAGACAAACTGAGAAATGAAATCCGGAACCTCGAAGAGCTTATTCCGATCGAGAAAGCATCATTACAGAAAAAGATGGACTCACAGACTGTATACAGGCTTGCAATTGCATTCTTCAGAACAAAAGCATTCGTGACAGGTTTGTGCATCTTCGAATTCCGATCATTGTGTTTATAACTAGGCCTATCACACACGACTTGTTGGACATAAAATGTCCATACAACAAGTACTACAAGTAACAGTTTGCCGTATTTGTGCTATCTGAAATATTACAGACGATATGTTACTCCTTGACACAAAATCACATCGATTAGACATGTCACAGATTTGTTAAGATGATGTATCTATTTAAAAGCTTTCGATCTTGAACTAGCATAGTGAAATGGACTGGAATCAAGCCAGAGATTTGAATCATAAGTTTAGTAACAATATACAAGTGTATGACAATTATTTATCCATCCAGTAAATTATACCAATGATTGATATATTTTAGCATCAAATTATCAGATTTCCTCTTTTCATTCCTAATAATAGATTATTCAGTTACTTTTAATCTAAAAAGCAAACGATATCCATGTCAACACTCGAACTCTCATGTCAACACTCGAACTCCCATGTCAACACTCGAAGTCTCAATTGATAACAAAGAGGGCACTTGAGAAGTTTTACAAGGACCTAATAAGAAAGCGACGTGCCACTGTTGGTAGAAAAGGAAAAGTCTTCCAATTTTCAACAACTTCTCTATTTGAAGTGATGTAACTGCAATTCACTAGCTGTCGTAACGTGATATTAAGCCACTTGGTTGGGACATCAAACGAAATTGGTCAGATTTCTAATTTTAAATTGCATCAACACTATTGTTGAAGTGTGGGAAGGTCCATAAACTCGACATGTGTACTTTCTCTTTTTCATATTGCCTATAATATTAAGGGAGTCTTTTGTGTAATCTAATTCATCCAAACCTATTTTAAGGTCAAATTAGTTTCTGGCTATTCGATATTTAATTGTTTTTTTTATCTTGACATGTATAACAAGAGCTCTGAATAAAAACAGAAAAACGTTTCCAAAGACATGGTAACTACCTGTGTAACTATCATGATTTTTTATTCAATGAAATATTGCAATTGATTGAGTTCAATTGAGTATCTATATTTCCTCCACATACGTGAAGATTTGAAACATTATAACATGTAATTCAATTATACAACAATTTACAGATTATTTACATAGAAATTATAAATATTAAATAAATTAATCAACATTTTGTATTTTAAGCTGCGTGGAATGGGTGTGATGCAAGTGCTAATGGAAGAAAAATGAATTTCCGATCAGAAGATATCATGCAGGTAGTAAAATATGTTTTTTTGTGTTTGCGTAAATTAATCAACATATATTAGATCCTGCTTTAAGCTCGCAGGCAGTTCGATTGAATAACTCATGAAGATCTAATCCATTTGAAGTTCTGTTACTTGAACTCTGGAAACGAATTGATTTGCCAACATGGTGGACGTTTATCTAGCTCTAGTGATGTCATACTTAATCTTTCTTTAAACTATGGAATCACAGTATGGCAAACATTGAGGTGACAACAAGTTCAGTTGACAAAATATGGTGTGCAGTTTTGACAAATGCCATATTTCTTCATAGGAAAAATGACAACAAATTTTTTTTCATGCACTGATCAACAGTTTTAATTTCTCATTGCAACATCCAATTCTTTTTCGAACTGTCTCACCAGCCTGTGATTCATCACCAATAAATGTCCATTGGGCACCATATACTTTATCACAGGTGTCACCCTGTCGATTCTTATTCGCGATGGGCTTGAAGTACTTCCAAATCTTGACAGAGACTCAGTTACAGAAGTATTGAGTAACCCTGTATATTGCTGTATGTACTTAACGATAAGTTTTAAAGTTAATTCAGCTTGTTGCTTGTTTTCGTCATCTTCACAAACAAATATGAAGGCACAGTTCAAAGTTCCGACCCAAATAACTGTGTAATCCCGTGTTAGCTGATACTGCTTAGATGCCTGAAGTCGAATGCAACCTTTTTCCAAATCAGGAAGAACGTCGTCATTATTCAGTCTTTGAAAGTCCTCCTCAAATGACTTGCTTGATAGTGCTTTCCTAAAGTTATACTCCGACTGAACCAGTTCTCCGATGTGTTGTTCCTGGGCTTCGATAGCTTTTGCATATCGAGTGTCAGCAGCTATTTGTTGTCGTCGAATTTCATTTTCACTTTCATGTCCTTGGCCTTTGTAGATGTCAGCTTCAGTACCCTCCGTCTGAATCTGGTCCTTTTCGTTATAATTTTCACGGAACTTATATCCAAAGCGCTTGGTATATAAGACTGTACAAGGTCCAGGTCGTAGAGACGATATTATAAACGCGTAAACCATACCTGGCGTGTCTTCAAAGTAGCTATATATCGTAAAAATAGGAAATTCGTGTTTATCAGATATCTAGTTTACATGAATCTTTTGAAGAACATCTAAACTGTCGCTAGATATTTTACCACTACAGCGAAAAGTAAAAGCGTGATTACTAGTGCCATCTTTATATCGATAGAGAAAGTTATTGCTATAGTAGTTTTGACTCATCGCTTTGAAACCCGAGCCTTGAAACCGAAACAAAAAATATGCTCTATGCAGGCCTGTAGCCAGGGGGGCTCTGGGGGCTCGTCCGAGCCCCCCCCCCCCTGATATCTCCTAAAAAAATGTGGACCTACCTTTTTGCTTCCTTGAAGAAAAACTTGCTCTTCCCCACATTCACTGGGCAATTTAAGATTAAAAAACTGACATTACTGTGCATTGTTTTTCGAATTTGGACATTATTTTTCAAAATTTGGCCCAGTGTTTTGTTAAACATAGCCTTCTGGCATGCCCCCCCCCCCCCACTAGGATGGGCCCGGAAAAAATGTTGGCCCAAAGATATTGTAGGGCCTCTTTAGTGGGCCTTTTTTGGCATTACTTGACCTTTTTGGGCCTTATCTTTTTTAATTTCAGGCAAAATTTTCAAAAAACGGGCTATAAATTTTCAAAATTTTTGCCCGAATTTTGGTTTTAGGGCGCTAAAAAACTTTAAGCACGGCCCTAAGATGGGCCCAGAAAAAAATGTTGGGCCAAAAATATTGTAGGGCCTCTATAGTTGGCCTTTCCTTGATCTTTTTACTTGACCTTTTTGGGCCTTATTTTTTTCAATTGTAGGCTAAATTTTCAAAAAACGTGCCATAAATCTTCAAAATTTAGGCCCAAATTTTGGTTTAAAGGCCCTAAATGGTTTTCCGCGCGGCCATAAGATGGGCCCAGAAAAAAATGTTGGCCCAAAAATATTGTAGGGCCTCTTTAATAGGCCTCTTTGGATATTAATTGACCTCTTTGGGCATTATTTCTTTCAATTTAAGGCCAATTTTCAAAAACGGGCCATAAATTTTCATAATTTTTGCCCAAATTTTGGTTTTAAGACTCTTTTACGCACGGCCCTAGGATGGGCCTGGAAAAAAATGTTGGGCCAAAAATATTGTAGGGCCTCTTTAGTTGGCCTTAACTTGACCTTTTTACTTGACCTTTTTTGGCCTTTTTTTCAATTTTAGGCCAAATTTTCAAAACACGGGCCATAAATTTTCAAAATTTTGGTTCTAGGGCCCTAAAAGGTTTTCCACGCGGCTAAATGTTGTCCCAAAAATATTGTAGTGCCTCTTTAGTGGGCGTTTTTGGGCTTAACTTAACCTTTTTGGGCCTTATTTTTTCTATGTTAGGCCAAATTTTCAAAAAACGTGCCATAGATTTTCTAAATTTTGATCCAAATTTTTGTTTTAGGGCCCTAAAAAGTTTTTCCGCGCAAGCGCGGATATTATTTTCTGACTTTAAGTGTCGGTCCCCCCTTGTTAGGTTCCGGATCCGCCACTGTCCTTTACAATACAAACGGGCTTGGTTTTGCATGGGAAAATTTTTTTTTTGGGGGGGGGGGTATGGGGGGGTTCGAGCCCCCCCCCCCCCCCCCCCCCCCTTACAAAAAGCTGGCTACGGGCATGCTATGCTATATACAATGAACAGAAGATTCTTCATCATGTATCACACTAGCAAATCTGGTTTAACAGATGCATGATGCCGTTCTCCTTTTCACTCAGGCACCCTGTAAACATGTTATATCATGCTTGTAGCTCATCAACGGCTTCCTGATGATAGTCACTTCAGATGGCACAATTCTATACACAAGTGCCAATATAACAGAACATCTAGGGTTCAGCCAGTTAGACCTTGCACATAGGTGTATCTATGGCATAACTCATCCAGATGACCACATGGAAGTGAAGGCAACGCTGGAAAAAACAATAGATGGTACATCAACGTCACAGGTATACTTAACACGCCTTGCCTTCGGTCTAATCGAAATTGCATTTCTTTATTTCTGAGATGCATAGTACGAGTATACAATTTCAGATCCCATTGAAAATAAACCTTGTATAAATAAGTAATATTATATTGCACCCTTTGGAATCATTTTTCTCTTCGGTTTCATACTTACAACCCCTTCATAAGTTTGGAATCAGGACGTCCCAATCGGACCATGTACACTATATGATGTGTGATGTTTGAATCTTATTTTTCCTCAATTATAATAACATTGAAATTAATGGCATTTGATTAATTTACTAAAATCACTGTAATCATCATGCTGCTGGGAAAAAGGGTGGCCCAAAAGGTTGCCAAGATTTTTGAGTGGAATGTACGCTTAATGCATATACTTGTACGTGATTTAGGGCATACACCTGAAGGGATCAAACGGCAACACAACTAAGAATAATCCAGCATCTGATAACGTGTCGATGGTATGCAGGATGAAAACATATTCGGCAACAAGATCAGGATATTTAGTGAGTTCTGCTGTTAACGCTTTGAACAAGTACCAATTGTTTATACTGTATTAAATGTTAGTAAACAGATCACATTGAACGCGGCAAGCGCACCTGTAATAATGCTACTGAAGCAACTATGTACGGAAACTTCTATTCTTCCAGTCTACCTTAAGACTCTTAAGGTAGTTCAAAGTTCATGTTAATGGCTTCCAATGGAGTCCCATGTTCGATTTCCAGGTACATATTACTCACTCCATACATGGTTTACATCATTCTGTTTAGCACAAAGATTGCATTAATATACCCCGGTTACTCATGTTTGTTAAAAATATATCGGGTGATTTCGGATAAGAATCTATTTTGTTGAACTACAAGACAGTAGCCTATAGAAAGAGTGCGCGATTCTAGGCCGACTAAATACTATGTTAGACTCAAGTACTCTCGAGACCTCACAATTTATGTTAAAAATAGTATAAGTAAAGATAATAAAAACGGTTTCTTTTGTCTCTAACAGTGTAATAACTCTGTAGGTTCTACTTAACTTAGCACGACTCGATTTAGAACATAAATCACATAACTGGATGTAGTTTCCGGAAATGTATATCCTGCCCACGTAGATTTACCCGATATAGGTCTCTCATATTATATGATCCTGAAATCAGATCATTCTGTAAGACGATTTATGCCATTGTCAGAATGTTATGAACTGGATTATTTAACTGATTGACACATATGATTTATTGAACGCTATTAATCCTCAACTTATTTTCATTACGAATGATTGATACGATTATTTGCTCATCTATTTATTATGATTATGATAAATTACAAAATACTGGATTGTTTTAGAAAGTGCACGTTGGTGGAGTAATGAAACAATTGTCTGGGACAGTAACCTCCACAAGGACTTCATCTCATGTTTTCTTCACTCTTGTCCGGCCCCACTCCAACAGCATCTTAGGCCCCGAGTGCAATCACCAGCCGTCCATCAACAGTTTCTGGACTAAACACACTATGGACTTCAGGTTCAAAGAGATTGACGGCAAGTACGTTTTCCAATTTTTTGCAAATCCACCAACATGAGAATGTGCACGACTTTCATCCACTAAAAATGCATATGGGTATTATAAATACTTATGGGCATTATTTTTTAGGTGTGCGTGCGTACGTGCGTGTGTGCGTGCGTCTGTCTGTTTGTCTGGGTGTACGCCACAAAAACCTTTTTATCAAAATTCCAAGATAAACGGCTTACCTATTCACATTGAACTTTTACAGGCACACGCACACCAACGCCAAGAAAAGACCTGATTACGTTTTGGGCATGTTGAGTAAATTACCTACACAGGCTGACCGTATCGAAAAAATTTGTCCGCTGTGACGGAGCGTGCTATTTTGCATAGAAACACTAGGAAGTCCACACAATTTATTTTTACTCATATGTTTTGCTATATCAAAGAAAATTACTGACTCCATGCAATGAATATATCATTTGCGGGTAACTTTAACTTCTGTCTGAAGTCCAACAACGCTAAGAGTAAAAGCTATTGAAAACGGCGTCGGAGTATCATACTCAAAATGTACCATTTCTTTTATTTCTTTTTAATGGTACAATATAGCGACACGATAATATTTACATATGTTTTCAGCATAACTCTGAAGGTATTAATGACACCTTTATGTGGTGTTTTTAATTTTTTTTTATAACAAAATAATTAAATTATTTTGTCCGCTGTGACGGAGCAGTTTCAAATTTTCAATAGCTTTTACTCTTAGCGTTGTTGGACTTAAAACAAAAGTTAAAGTTACCCGCAAATGATATACCCATTGCATCGAGTAAGAAATTGTCTTTGGTATAGCGAAACATATGAGTAAAAAATAAATTGTGTGGGTTTCCTTTCTCTAAGTGTTTCTATGCAAAATAGCACGCTCCGTCACAGCGGACAAATTTTTCGATATCAGCCTGTGATTTTGAATTTTTTTAATAAAGAGTGCGATATTTATCAATGTGTGTCTTATTTCATTATTGCAATGAATAGTGAAACGTGTCCTATTTTTCACATTTTCGAGGGCGTCACAAGAATCAATTTGAAGCACCGATGCCGGGAAATGTCAATGTAAAAAATCCAACAGACTTTGACAGGCCGCTAGATTAACTCACTCGGCCGGTAAGGTTTCTAAAAGCACCTATATATTGATTCGATCGGAATGGCGACCAATGTCTAGCACTAACTACGTTTTACCCTAACTTAACCAACTACAATGACAAATCTAATTTTCAAATTACCGACTGAAAAAAGTTAATAAATTAGATACATCAAAGTGATATCAAATTCATTATATGAAGGATAAAACATTAAAGATTTCAGAGATACTTCTTAGAATTGTAGTTTTCCCTGAGGTTTTCGTATAATTCAATTATTTAGCATTGAGATTGATCGTACTGCATGACCTTGATCATGACATTACGCGATAACATCTTGCAAATTGATTATGGGGTTACCATTTCAGCGATTAAGACGCCGGCAATGCCACGTTTCTATCATCGTGTCGAATTTCATGAACAATCAATCTGAACTGCACGTTGCATAGCAAGTATATCCGATCCGACACCCATTTTAGCACGAGGCTTGGCAAAACCTATTACAAATACCCTTGTTCTCAATATATATTGAGTCATCTATCAAATTGATGGATAGTATAGGTCAGTTTCAGCAAATCCCATCTGAGTAACTATTCAAGCAGCAGGCATGCATATTGCAACCATTTACAAATGAACTGGTAAATGAATCACTACATCAATTGGTCCCATATTTTAGAAAATGAAATGAAAATGCCACTTGTGGATATAGATGATATAGTGGATTAATGAATTCAAGTTATTAATCCGGTTGGACGCAGTGTAGAATAACAAAGGTCAGGGTAACGTTGTATGTGGATATAAATGTGTTTCATTTTTGGCATTTCAGTGTCAGTATGAGGTCTAAGGAGATTTTTAGAGTTCAAGGTCAACATCATAATTCAAGGTCCTTGTAGGTCAAATGTTATGTTTAATATTACTTGAAGAGCCATGAAAGTTTAGTGGGGAATGATATTATTTCTTTCAAGGTTAGCGTTAACAGTCAAAGTTCAAATATTATTTTATTTTATTTTGTATATTCTTACCATTTATTTGAATGTTTCTTGCCAAACTTTGCCGTATTTCCAGAATTCCGTGAGAACAAAGTCTCACTAATTACACATTATACCATAAGATGTCATCATACAGGCTGAGCCAAACATAATATTAACATTTGTTTCGTTTAAAGTTTTCGTTTAGTGTACATTCGTTATATCCCAACTGACAGTACCGTCAGCTGAAATAATGATTACTCAATTAGCATTTGAATAGATTTTATTGCCCACTGCTGAGAAGTCCGATAGCCACCATCTACCAAGTGATCGAGGGTCGACTTTTGACTCAACTATCGATGTTATCAGTTTACCAAATCTTAATATCAATAGGCTATCCTGGACCCTGTTGCTTTAATAGTTTTATTGCATGATAACTCGCTAGATACCTCATAAAACAGATTCTATTAATCTCTATAGCACTTTGAACATCGGTTTTGAGTCTCGGATTTAGAAATCACAACGAGTGACTCATTTTAGGTTCATATAATCATAGGCTTTCAAGAGATAATTCACATTTATGCGATTTCAAATGCAAAAAATTACTGGATAAAGTAGTCCCAGTTCCAGTAAATTGAACTATATTCTTGCATCAAAAGGTTTTATGAAATTCTACCTCAGACAATATTAGTGTTCGCTTTCTAAAAGGTCGGGATGAATAATGTATTATTTTATGAAGCCTCTCTTCGAAGTTTATAAAATCTTATCAAAGGAGTTCACCTAGGAATCTGCCACCAGTGCTAGCCTGGTAGTAAAACGTCACCGCGTATGAACATGCAGTGAGATGAGATAGTCAAGCAACAACATATTGTGGTTACGTCAGACGAAAAAACATTGATTAATGGCTTATCGTTCCTCTTGTCTAAAAACAAATAAATACAAATAGTTACTCAATTGTAAAAATATGTTCTTGTACAACGATCGGAATTGTATTCGACCGTACCATGTTTTTATAATTTTATAAATAGACTTCAATCAGGATGTTATTGTGACCTTATACATAAGCATTAAATAAAATGGCACGAAACTACTACTGACTATGTTTAAGTTGTCTCATTAACAAATATAAATGGTATTATACCAATATAGGACCATCAGTTTGCTTTGATCATCTGGTGTTTAAAATAAAAAGAATGAAATAATATATACCTTTCAATTTCAACTTGTATCGTTCATGTTCATGTTATCACAATAAAATGCTGATATATTGTTGCGGAATCCATTGTTGACGTCCGTGTCAATAACATCTCAGGAGAACAGGTTGATCTGACTTTAAACCCGTTCAATGAACCGATACAGCCATGATTCACAATAAAAATCCACGTCGGTAATACCACCAAAGATAATCATGGTCTTATGGTGACGACTTATTGGACTTCGCCTTAAAGCCCCCCCCCCCCCCCCCCCCTAAAGCGCCCAGGTTTTTGTAAATTCTCTTTGATAACTACCCTTTGCGGTCGATTCCGCTTCTTAAAAGAGAGCTTCGTATACTTCGGTTTATAACTGGACTGCGCGCAGGGTATTCGATAGCAATCAAAATGTATGGCTATATATTTGGCATACAGATTCTACTCGGGAAGGTTTATAGGTATTGAAAATATTTTTCCATTAATATTGTGGGAGAACTCTAGTTTGCTTCATCAAGCAGTGGATCGATGTATTTTAGTCCGTTCGGCAACACCTTTCCCAGTTACACAAAAGAAACTACTACAAGTATATACACTACTTTGCTGAACATACTGCCGAAAGGATTTATGCTACCCCATTGGTTGCTAATGATCGGGCGACGATAACACAAATTTCCGGGCTACTTTAAATACAGACGCGCGACTTTTATTGGTTAAAATCAATCGCGGGAATAAAAAACAATCGCGCGGAAAACATGCATTATTCGCGCGGTTCTGGCGGCGATACCGCGCGAAAATGAATGCGAACGGATTGGACGTCCGACGTACATGTACGTTGGAACATGTATGTGTTCATTTCTAAGTAAATATGCTCAACTTTCAAAACAAACCAGCGATGTTGGTCTATCTGTGCAGGTGACATTTTGATTATATCCGTGCCATAGATTTCAATGAGAACTTACAATTAAATGACCCTGAAATACCTAGAATTCATAATGATCCGAATTTTACAGCTGGTCAAAGTGAAAATAAAAATCTTTTGGCGCCTTATCGAAGTAAGATACATTATTCTTATGACAGATACACCGCTGTGCTCACTACTCGAATGTTTTTAGTGTGCTCGTGAATTAGAGATGTTTGATTATGATATATAGGGAAACGAGATAATCAAATCTTTGTGTTTTGAGTTGTAAAATCTGTCAAATCTGTATTCCCCTAAATCTCGAGTAAATATATTGCCGATGTTAAAAATAAGCCACCCGGGTCGTTGCGCTCAACGCTAGATCGATCTAGAAATAATTACAAAATTATTAGATCCAAGACAAGCGTAAGGATTTATTACGTAAATGGATAATGGTAGCATCCACATTACTAAATCAACTGCATCGTATTCCAATGGGAAATTGCTAGTTTCAAGATTGTATCATTGGAAAAAGTGAACAAATTCTAATAATGAGTCACTTTTTCCATGAAATGATCAGTTAACGTATAATTCACGTTTATCTGTGTAAATCTGGTATCAATTCGGTGAAATCAGGTTTCATTACTCTGCACTCTCACTGTTACTTAAGCCACTAAATTCATAGTCCAAATCTATTATGTATTTACGCTTTCGATTTTGTTAATAGGGCAATGTCCGTGATGGGCTTTGAAGGAAATGATCTCGAGGGAGAGTCGCTGTACCATTACATACATCCCGATGACCTCCACACGTGTGCCAACTTCCATACGACAAGTAAGCATTCCGTAAATACTAATGAAGAATATTTCCATTATTGGAAAGATATGGCGAATTAGCAAGATTAAATGTCATCGTACATCAATGCTACAAGAAATTCAGACACATTATTTACTAAGAGCGATATTTCATACAGCCCTGGACCTGTCAATATAAGGCTTAAATACTCGTAGTCAATGTATTGGTTTTGATATCCATTTGGAATGGGAATGTTATTCTTAATGAGCTCGTGTTTGAATGCAATTTTTCAATGTAAAATTCACCAAGTGGATACACGAAATCAAGGATACTGCAGCCTGCAGGCTACATTGAGATGGTACGATATCTAAAAGTAACACGAAGACGTGGCGTCGCTAAATCAACGATGTAATTGACAAAATTGTTGAAAAAATGTCCAGATATTACACAATCATTATAATAAACGTAACTGTCATTTTAGATGATATCGGGTCTTAATTGAATCATTCCTTTAGAAAAATTCAACATAGGCAACTTTATACATTGAACTGTACACCAGTGATACACGAAATAGCACTTTAAACGAATTTTATGTTTTTATTGGTTGCAGTTCCTCATAACTTCCTTAGCTCCAGACACTCTTAATTCAACTGATTTGATATATTATTTCTCGTATCATTTGTTTATGATTATAATGGCAGTAAATATGTCACTGTTGCACGTTTTATCGGATATTTTTTATCATTTTAGTGGTGAAAACTAATGAAATAAAAACTGCATATTTCCGAATGCTGGCGAGGAGTGGTAACTGGTACTGGCTTCACGTTCGAGGAAAAGTGGTCTTTAAGAACTCGAAACAACATTCCCTAGTTCTGTCACACAGTTTAATGAGGTAATGGTTGTAGTTAGAATTAATTAATGGTCTATTACAGTAATAAAATAATAATTCTTTCAGAAGACACTGTCGATAACCTTTTCAAGTCGTTTCTACTGCGAGAATTGGATACTTATCCTAGGACCTTCTACTAATAGTCTTGATAGAAAAAACCAAAAGTCACTCATAGCATAACAATGATCTACTGCATCGTGAGACATGGATGCAGTGAAAAGATAAGGCGTATCAGCAATCCATTACTATGTTTTAAGCAAATCAATCTTAAAAGATAATTATTTACATTTCAATCGGTGTTGCGATGCAGTGGCCATCTCAACCTCCAAGAGCGAAATGATTGAATAATTCAATGTCGTCCAGATGAAGTGATTGAGACAAGAACTTTTAACTAATAATTTGTTATCGTCTTTTTAATTATATACAGCATATTACAATAGAACAACTATACAATACAATGTAACAACATTTTCAAGACGACACGATACTACAATACAATACAGTACAATATAAAACAAAACAATATAATACAATGTAATACAATACAATACAATACAATACAATACAATACAATACAATACAATACAATGCAATACAAGGATACATACTAGGATATTTTCTCATCCATTTCTTATTGTGTTGGATATTATGTGAACGCTCGGTTTGTGTTATCATAGCTGTAATTTGTTACCTTAGCTGTAATCCATACAGCTAGTTTCCTGCTTAACATGTAATCCATACATCTGGTTTCCTCTTACCCCCACTACAAAAAACCACGCGTCTGATGTTGGTGTCATTTTGACCTCTTTTCCTCATTAAAGTGTGTTTCTTGTCTTAATAGAGAGATATCGCATGTAACGTTTTGACTTGACGTATCTAAATTCCGTAACGCATTCACCAGATTTATGTAGCAGTTCAATTAATAGGATGTGTAGTTGCGGATACGATTTAGCTATAACCAGTTGTGCGAAGCCTCTTTAATGTGTCTGTATGGTAAACTTATCTTTAATATCTCATAAATTTCTCTCCTTAAAGGCATCAGCCACTAGAATTTGAACCAAATCTGTCATCCGGTATTTGAGTGGACGTCGGGACGAACGACTTCACGGTATCCCTACCAAACGAAGTTCGGTGGGATAATAACAACTATCAATATATTACTATAACCATGAACACGTTGGTGTCGTACATCACAGCTATTGTACTTTGCTGAAAACGATTTCATCCACCGATTTAATTATTAATTAATATTAATGATTAAGTAATTAATTTGACGCATTAAGTATGAGTTTTGAGTACCGATGGAGGACTAGGGTCTAATTATTGTTTGACTTACCTCGGATTCTAATATTTTAAATTTTTCACTTCTATTCTATAGTTTATGAATTGTTTCAAATTAATGTTCTGAAGGATTTCTTTATAAAACACAAAACGAATTTGTGCAATGAGTCCTTAGAGTCGCCCTTATTGTAAATCATAATTCGAGATCCTTTGAGAAAACTAAAGCTCATTAAATGTCTGTGAATATCTGTCTAGTAACACTATACCACCTCGAGGGGCAATATCATTATGAAATGAATCTTTGAGGTTATGATCGGGTTCCGCTGAATCGCATTAGGAATAGTTGATGTATAACTCTCGTTTTAATTCTTTCGAAAACAAAAAAATCTCCATGTGTATGGCTAGCTAGAATATTTATTTTACAAAGAATGAGGGATATTGAACTTATTAGGTGAATTAGGTTTGTAAACACAATTGTTGTCCTACTTGTAGTTCTATTTCGATTTTTCATTGAGTGCACCTGTCCGAATCTAATCATGTTCTAATGAAAGTAAATGAAAAGAACAATGTAATGGTGTAATATATGATCCCATAGTGACTCACAACTCTGTTTCCCCTTTTAAATGAGCTATATTTTACAGAGCCGAAGACAGCGCATATATTCAACAAGAAGTAATCTTAAGAAATGGCACTAGGCACCTTGGAATGCTATCTGGCCAAAATAATGATGGGATCACAAACGATAATCTACGTATACAGGAGAAGTGCGCTGGTTCGGATACACCCAGCGAAAATCAAGATGGGAAACCTTCAAAATATAAACTAAAGTATGTTCCACTTTACATCTCTTCAGTAAATGAACGAATAAAACTGCATTGTATTTGTATTAAGGTATAGGAATTGCGTAACACAATATCGTTAACCGATTATTTTACCATATTTGATTGAACCTACGTGAGTGTGGTAACTTGTGACGCAATTGTACTTTTGTATTTAGTTGCGACTTTTTTACCTTCAATGTCACATTCCAAATACAAGATTATTATATAGTAACTTATTGGTATTCAAGAGATTTGGAAAACTAAAAAACAAAATCAGTATTTCACCTAACGAGCAAAAACACTCCCAAAATTAATTAAGTTCTGAAGTATCATATATATCAAGAATGCTAAATTCTATGCCCAGTAGATTTAGGGAGATAAGTTGCTAAGATATTTCCTGTATCCTGATTTCAATATGCAGAACCTCCATATATATCCCGCCATATCTCCCATTCCCGTGCATATCTTCCCACTTCCGGTAATTGGAAAATACGCTCGTATGTTCAAAAACATTTGAAATGTTTTTTCAGAAAACTACTGGGTATAGGATAAAGCAGCTATATCCCTCGGGAGATATCCATATCTCCCTCTGGATAAACCCCATATCTAAAAACTCCCAAAAAACTTATTTCACATGTGTGTTATCAGAGCACAACACGTTACAGATTTGTTTTTAAATCTTTACACATACATGTTTATATGACATCAATTTGACACTGAATGAGTGTCCCTTTATTCGATCAAGTGCTTGCCCTTCTATCACACAGTGTCTATAGTACGGTTCCTAGAAGTGTATCTCTTTTTTCAGACACCATCCATACAGGGGCTTGAAAGAGGATTACGCTGCGACACTGCACAGTCCTCACGGGGAATGTCCTTCAAGTTGGCATCGCAGCGTGTCCTACAGCGGACGAAAAGTGAAAAAAGATTCCCATGAGAGAACCTATCACAACCCTGCTTTCTTCAGATACAAGCATCCGCACCATACAATATCTTCTACAAATGACCAGTTATGCATTCGTTCCAATGAGAATATCAGTGCCTTTAATAAAATACAGAATTGTCACGTTCCGTTCAACCCTATTGAATGCTGGCGGAAATCTCTAATGAGTCAGAATTGCCAAGTCTCACAAATGGACAATAATGCATACTTGACCAGAAATGCTACGGTTGGTTACACTTCAAATGGACATAACGGCCAACAGCAACGTGACGTCCCATCAGATCTTCCCCCGGTGCGAGCGCCTATCACCCAGGCAACATGTAGATTCCAAGGATACCTCTCTGTTACCATGGAGACTCCACGGCACAATCCTTGCATGATCGACCTCAACACAAATCAATGTAATTTTATTAGCAGATGTTCACGTGATAAGTATGGTTATTATCAACCTAGGATTAACAATTATTTACAGGTGAATTTGCCTGTCGAAAACACATCGCTGGGTTGTGAGTATACCAAGCGCCAATATGAAGTTGAGAACATTATCACTGATAACACCTACTTGGACCTTCTAAATGACACGTGGTAATCCTCAATGATTACCAATGCCTGGGCATGTATGAACATGTATAACAATAGTGATATGTTCTTGTAAAAAATGAATTAACAGCATATTCTTGAAGACTACTACATTGAAAATCGTAACTATAGTGACCACTAGGGACTACTAGGGACTACTAGGGGCATTTTTTATACATCATATTAGTATTTCGCATTGTATATAGCGGAATATTTAATGATTAAAATATTTCAACTTTGATTATTTGAAAAATTGCGGGAAATTTGAATATTTGTGAAATAAACACTGATAGCATTTTTTCCAAACTTTGCAGGGGGCCTTTAAATGAGTCACTTGAATGTTGACCCTAAATATCATGTGTACTTGTACATTCTTACCTTAAAATGTGTACTAGGCTACAGTAAAAATTAAAATTTTAAATTAGAATATTGAAAAGCTTTGTTCTTTTAATTGCTTTCATTCAGAATTTCTAACTTTAGTCATTTTTTAGTCAATTTTAAATAGATTTTTAAAGGAATAGCGATAAATCAGGGATAATTCCTTTAAAAACTCCAAAATAATTCGTTGGTGCCTCAAACCTGCCCCGAAGAATGACTAAGACCCCAATTCATTTTTGTCAAAACACCAGCGCCTGAAAAATTACTCACCTTAATATCGACGAGTTTTAGATTTGATCGACTGCAAAAGCAAAATTCAAGTCTCAGCTAAAACTCCGTTCAGTGTGAAACGGAACGAAGTGGTTTTAATTTCACACTCTATAAATGGCCAGAGGGGGAGAAACACCAGGGTTCAAAGATGACATACGCTTATAATGTAAATCTGTATTGAGATGACATCGTCGCTGATTGGTCAAAAGTCGACAAACAAATGACGTCATCAATGGCGGTTTCAAAATTTTTGAAATACGCTTCGAATATTATTATACGTGTTAACCAATATCATGGCTTCTCATTTCACATCAAGATAAAGAAAGGTGTACGGAATATGCCTATATCAATTAAAACATCCCATCGAAGTGTAGTATTTGATAAATAGCCGATGAAAATTCAAACGAACGAAGGTGGTAAGCAAGAGACGTAATTATGTCTGTCATCTTTAAACTCTGGGGCTTTCCCTCCTCTTATAAATGGCTTTTCACACCTTCTTAATTACGCCGCCTGGTGACAGATAATTATTCCACGAAAATACTAAAAACCAAAACTAAGTTCCAGAAACATACTGTAAACTGATATTTTACAAATCAAAAAAAAATTTGCATCAAAATAAACTCGGCTTGACGTGTTCTTATTAATTCATCGATCTATCGTTACTTTGGTGAGGTATATCCTGTTTTTATTTTATTTTTCATGGATTTTCATTGGTTCATTAAATGTGAAAATGTAAACCAAGAACATGTTTTTACGTACGTTTTATAGAAATCCCATACTTTGTCACCCTGATACTCCAATACACCTGTTTCCAACTCTCTATCGTGTCTCCTTTGTCCTTCAACATAGATGGTACTCAGTGAAACTACTATTTGTATAATTTAACCATCTAGTGTGTTCGTTTTATGTCAATACATCCACTTGGATCACCATTTCCCAAGTCCTCTGTTTCCTCTGAAAAAAAACTGAAGAAAACGTTAAGACAGAGCAATCGGCATATTAAACAAATACTGGATGACCATGAGGTGGATATGCCAGAATACCTATCCGAGGAAAAAATACTTGGCGAGGCAAGCAATAACATAGGCTTTTACAACAACGTTCACCTGAAATTATTTATAAAGCTACTAAATAGTTAAAGTATGAAAACTCAAAAACACCATTCAATATGATACAAAGTATTATCGCGCGCTAACTTTTCTTAAAACATACAAAATGGCTGACATGACTGAGCTTACAGGTCCAAAACCTAATCAGATGTAGAATGAAGTGAGCTGAAGAAGATTTTTTTTTTTTTTATTGGATCTTACACATACATCATACATAATATACACACATGTTCATATAATACTTTTACATTTTACAAATAGGTACTATTTTAACAACAGCTCATCTCCATGTATGAGGATTTTCTAACAATATGGTTTACAAATATTTACAGCATAATGTACAATGGTCTTCAAAAACATATAGATTACCACAGTTTTGTAAAATATAACTCCATACCTTAAATATAATACATAGTTATTGGCTTAATAGTTCACTAACCGATCTCCAAGTCTTATAGAATGTTTCTTGCATATCATTTGAATTTGCAATGTTTTGTTCATCTTTGATTTTATATTTTATGATTTCCTTTATTTGGGTAAAGGTGATTTTAGTTTTAGTCAGTCTCGATTTATGTATTAAACTTTTTGTATACAAAATACAAAAATTAATGGCTTTAGTTTTATCCTCGTTTTCTTCATCTAATTTTCCTATAATTATATCTTTATATGTTAGATCAACATTGAGGACAATTTTGAAATCGTCCCAAATCTTGGCAGAGTTTGGGCACTCAATATAAAAGTGTATGGTATCATCGATTTTGTTATTATTGCATATATCACACAATTTTGAATTTTTGATCTTCTTTTGAGTTAGAAAGTTATTGTTTGGCGTTAGATTTAAAATGAGTTTGTATTGGAGACATTGTATTCTTGGTTCACGTACAGTCTTAAAAGGTAAAGTGAAAATATGTTTCCATTCCTCTTCTGCGACATTAAATTTTGTAATTAGAAAGTTTTTACCAGTTGGTTCTTTGAATAAATCCTCTATGAGACACCAATAGATAGTTTTAGTTTTAATAGCCTTGATGTTAATTGTACCGTCTTTAATTTGAAGTTCTTCATTTTTAAGCTTCTTGTCATTTGAATTTTGTTTAATTAATTGTTTCCATGTGTGTGGTATTGCGTGGATTAAGCCATAGAAGGTTACGAATGGTGTATTAATGTTGTATTTACGAGAAAATTCTTCAAACCCCATGAAATCATTATTAATAACAAGGTCTTTAATTTGGAGAATACCTTTGTTAATCCAGTTAGCATAACTCACTGTTAAATTATTAATTTTTATAAAATCATTATTCCAGATATACTCCTTTAAGACAAGTTCCTTATTATATGGCTCTTTATTATGTAAACATTTCCACGTTTCCATCATACTGAGGTAAAATGGTGGTAATCTAGCCAAGGTTTCTTCTGGAAATTTAGATTGAAAGATTGCCTCCGGCTGTAGATTTGGAAAGAAACTGTAAAAATATTGTTTCCATTTGCAAGGTTTGCTTTGGAATAACCTTTTTACCCATTGGATTTGTAATGCCTTTATTTGAGACTCGAAATGCAAACTTTTGACCCCACCTTTCTCTATTTTGCCTATAGTTGTTAAATTACTAATAAGTGGAGGTTTTTTGTTCCACAGAAAATTGTTAATGATATTTTGAACTTTATTGATGATTTGCTTTGGTACGAGTATGATTGATGCCAAGTAAGTAAGTTTTGAAATGGCTAGAGCTTTAATGAGCACATTTTTCCCTATTAGGCTAAGATTCCTCCATTCCCATATTTTAAATAAGTTTTCTATAGCTTTAATTTTAGGGGTAAAATTACGATCGTTTCGTTCCTCTATATTATGGCTAAACCACACTCCGAGTGTGTAGAAGGATTTGAAGAGCTGAAGAAGATGTTAAAGTTTTGAAAGCAACTGTGAAGCCGTTTTTCTTAAAGTTTGCAGACAAGGATTTTAGCATTTGACTTCAAAATGGCCGACAGGAAGTAGGTATCGAGTTAAAAAATTTTCATCCACATCTGTATGCACTCATTAGTTATCCTTGGAAATTTAAAGGCCCCACACTATGTGGTGGGGACATAAAAATCATGTTAATACTCCAAATACAAGAAAAATTGATCGGTAAGGGCATATAAAATAATGAGGAATCAAAATAAAATATGATACTAATTTTAAAAGATCTGATTCTAAGAAACACAACTATTTAGTTAAATCATTCACTCCATTAAACTAGGTCAACGAGGATGACATGAAGAGGTAAGATTTTTGAGAGATTTTTCCCCCACTTTTGATATTTCATCAAATTACTTCTCTTTACACCAGATTTAAACTAGTTAAGCTTGTAATATGTATTAAGTAGTTTAAAGGCTGCAAAACGAACACAGAATGAAACTACAATTTACACGCAAACGGCCATACATGCCAGGGATCTAATTGGTTTGTATCATCCGGCTAGAAAAAGCTTATTTACAACTTTTGAGCACATCTTTCAACTTTCGCCGGAAAGTTTGTGCAGATTTCCTTGGGCTAAACCGATGAAATTGATACACTTTACGTTAAAATTAATTTTCTCTAAGATAGACTTGGTTTGGAGGCTGAATCTGGGCTATTTTTCTTTGAAGGTGGTTTTTACCTACCCGGAAGCAGAATTTTCAAATCATCTGGAGTTGTCCCTTGGAGAGTTATATACATTTTTACGATACAAATCATATGTAAAAAGCTCTCTGTGTAATATATAAGCTACTCAGAATACTAAATTGAATTTATCTGGTAGAAAATACGGTAGATTTTTGATTGAAAGAATCACATTGTCATGGCTTTTTATATATATATTTTTTTTTTATTTCAGTTCGAATCTTTTAACACATGTAATGTTTTATATACCTACCCTACCGTTATTTTTTCGCCCTATGTATTCTTATCCTTTCATCACATCCTTCAAAAAACTCATTCAAATACTTGTACTTAGATAAATCTTAGGTAATCAAGCCATACGATGCAGAAAACCAAACACATGTTAACAGATTTACGCCCTGCACTCCAAGATGATTTCAACAGCGTATATCTCGTTTCAAGACTATGAATCGGTGTGGCAGCAAAAATTAGATGAGTATTCACGCCAAATGTGCAATTTAAAATCAATATTATACACACTAGAATGCTGTATCAATTAAGGTTTTGAAAAAGAGTGAATTGAAAAACATGTTAATAGTTATACACTAACCTTTAACAAATACAATCAACTATACATGTCGTAAATTTAATCCAACTAAACGATCCAACACATGACATCATACACCAACCAATGTTCTCTTAATTGTCATCTAATTATTCAAATGCAACGAGATCACACCTACACAGTATCTTATTCTAATGATCACGGATTCATTTTCTGATAACTAAAACTTTCAGATTAAAAAGGTTTTTATTAAGCAACCCTACACTTTATATCAGAATATCACAACAATTTGATCCGATATACTTACATGACTTAACGATGATGGATTTGTAAAAGGGTATTTTTAAAGCGAATGACATTCAAAAACAATTGCAAATTTCGATTTCGAAAAAAAATCTTACTTGTCATTTTTCCGTTTGCATTTAAAATGTTCGCAATTTTAACACACGGATTAGAGTTATCAGATTATAAATTGC